GTTGGACTAGGGATGGGTTGAGGCGGGTCCTGCTTTGTGCTGTAGGCCAACATACCCAGAGCGGACCGGTTATCCCGAAGGCCCAGCGAGCGGTCCGGATAGGCTGTAGGCCCCAAGAGAGCGGACCAGACGTGTCGAGGCTTGGAGAGTGGACCAGACCGACTGAAGGCCCGGTGCGGGCGGACCAGTCATATTGTAAACTCAGAGAGTGGACTAGGTGGATTCAAGGCCCGGTGCGGGCGGACCAATCACATTGTAGACTCGATGTATATGGCTAGACTCGGAGGGTGGACTAGGTGGACTGTTGGCCGGTGCGGCGGACTAGTCTCACAGTAGACCCGAAGTGCATGGCTGTTCTGTGTTCTGTTATGTTATGGCATGTTGTGCGTGTATGGTATATGTGGTTGGTATTTTGGGGGTATCTCACTATGCTTTCGGGCTTACAGTTGTGGTTTAATGTTTTTCAGGTTCTTCAGGAGACCGTGGCAAGGCAAAGGCGTGATCGTACCGCTCCTCATGATTCTGTTCTATGATGTGGTTCTGGGAAGACTCTGATAATAATTGTATTGAAAACCTTTTTGTATTAACTTTGTGAAACTAGGTTGTTTTCGAAAAGTTTAAATTGGTTGAAATTTTTAGAGCGTTACACTATTTTGGTCCCAAGAATGGACCTTTATGGTGAAATCTCATTTGTGAGCTTAGGGTTGCCACCCTCAGAGCTAAAAGGGTCCCATAAGCAGTAAAGTCTCCATCTTGAATGTCTTAATGGGTTCATGCATGAGATCTAGCCCTTTTCATGGAAGTAGAACATCATTTTTGTAGTTTGGGCTTGTTTGGGCCAAGTAAAGCCACCAAGTTAGTGACTTTATGGATTAAGACGTGGAAAAGGACCAGGATCTGTGATTGTAGCTTCTGAAGTGAAGTATTAAGCACTTAATGAGAACTGGACTTTACAGGAGGTTTACGTTGAGCGTACGTGAAGGTACGCCCAACATATGCATCACTCAATCAGTACGCTTAGCGCACGTAGATGTACGACCATCATACTCTATCAGTTGGGCCTTGTGCTTTTGGGCCATGGTTTGGGTCTTTAGGCCTTCGTAGGCCATGAAAAGTCATATAATTTAGGCCAAGAATATGTTTGGGCTTAAAGTAAGGCCCATTAGAGGGGTTAGGCCCAATTAAGCAAATTGGGCCACTAGTGGGCTTGGAAAGCCTACTTAGTGTTGGATTCTGTTTTGAGATTTGGGGCCCAATTGCTAATTAGGTATATTGATTGGTACTGATGAATCAGGAAGTGGGCGGGGCAGCAACTAAGGATTTCTTCAGGAAGCTTCTGCATTCGAGGTGAGTCTTTTCACCACACTAATAGGTCTAAGGCACCAAGGCCGACCCATCTTACGATAGTTGGTATACTTATTGTGTAGAGGTGTGTGGCTTTGTTATGCATTGATATGTGGTAGAGATAGCTTTTACAACTAGTGGTAGAGATAGCCTTCAGGGCTATTGGTAGAGATAGCCTTCAGAGCTAGCGGTAGAGATAGCCTTTATGGCTAATGGTAGAGATAACCGTTATGGCTAAGGGTAGAGATAGCCCTTGTGGCTAATGGTCGAGATAGCTTTGTAGCTAATTAATATGCATTAGGTGGTAGAGGTAGCTTTATAGTTAATGGTTATGTGTTATGTGGTAGAGGTAGCTTTCATAGCTAACATGTTATGTGGTTTGTGTGTGGGGTATGCTCGGGGGAACTCACTAAGCTTCGTGCTTATATGTTTGTTTATGGTTTCAGGTACTTCAGATTCCAAGGGCAAGGGTAAGGCGTGATGACGCGACGTGCACTCTCTCGCAGATACTTTATGGGACACTCTGATGTTTGGAATCAAAGTTGTATTGACTTATGTTTTGAAAACAATTATAATTGGATTTCTTAATGTATGAGAATATGTTTGCTTATTCAAAAATTTAAAATTTACTTTGAAAATTGGGTCGTTACAGTGAATTTGAACGAAAAAATCAGCAACTTCTCCGACCCGATCCAACCCATACGAAGCACAAAGATTTTCTACTAGTTTTTATATTTCTAGAGATGGCAAACGTTCATTTTCGTAAGAACTCATCTATGAATATCATACTATTATAGAGATTTGATTATTTTTTTATGTATATTTAAAATGATTATAAAATTAATTTGATTTGTCTTATTCACGTAAATTTCACAAAAGTCACTAAATTTACATGAAAATTGAATTTGATATTATGTTTTTTTGTCTCGAATTAGACATTCCGATTACTAATTTGTTATAATTTTGACCACTTAATCGGTCAACCAAGATGTATGTTGAAGCGACATGATGATGTATCAGTTTTAATGACATAACATACTGACATGACATTATTTGGCGATATCATATTAATGGTGTTAATATTGAAAAAAAAAAAACTAAAATATAGTAACTTCTAAAATATAATGAATTTTGTGATAGTTATCCAAAATATAGTTACCTATAAAAAAAATTAAGATAGAAAATGTATCTAAAATGAACTTATCGGCTAAACATACCTTAGGTCCCGTTTGATAGTTTATGTCTGGGAAAGTGCTGTCTGGTAAAATGCTGTTTGGGAAAGTTTTCTGACTGGGAAAGAAACCATGCTGTTTGATTGTGCATCTGATTGACTGTGCTGAATGATGAAAAAAAGTAATAATTTAATAAAAAAAATAAAAAAATAAATGAATAATCCAATAAAGAAAGAAAGATGCGAGATTTGGTGTATAATTGTTTTTTCAGCCCATTCAGCCAGAAAGATATGATTTTGGGGTTTTCTGGGAAAGACATATCTTATCGAGAAAGTCTCATTCTTTTATGCAAATCAAACAGTCTTTCCGATCCATTCAGCTAGAAATATCTGTTTGGACCTAGAAAGATGCGTATCAAACGGGACCTTAGTTCATAAAGTTTGTTACGTGTTATGTTTTATACTAAGCCTTTGGATATTTATTTTAATGTCTATTTATTATACTAAAAATAGATAATGAAAAAGATAAATATTTTTTGTTAATTATATATTGGTAGAATAAAAAAGGGTTGACTTTAGTTATATATCATAATGCATTGGCTTATACATGTATAAATCACATTGAAACTTAGGAATTGTCTTCTAACATTTTTGTTTGGACAAAATTACAATTTTTATTTCGCGAGTTTTAACAAATGAATAAATCGTTGTCGTAAATTATTAGATAAAATAAAATAAATTACAATTTTTTTTATTTCTGTTCTAAATAGATTTGGTACGTATGTTTGTAATCTGTGTCTACATTTAAATAAAAAAAATTCATCTTTCAAAGATATTATCATGTCGTCGTCTTATATTAAATTCTAAAAATATATATTTTTTTTATAAACAATATAATGTCGTTAATGATTATTCAACTATTTAAAACTTGTAATTTAGTCATTGACAAATATTTACACATTTATCGTCCCTATATTAATTAAAAGTTGAAAGTGTTTATAGTAGCGATCAAATGTTTACTCTAACATGGCATCCAATTATATTACACATTTACAAACAACATTTATTTACTTGTTAAAACTCATTTGACAAAAATTTTAATTTTGTCCCGCCCAAAAGGTTGAAGGTTATTTCTAAGTTTCAATATTGGTACATACACATATAAGCAAAAATTTCAATTTTGTCTCGCCCAAAAGTACATACATGTATAAGTTAATGCATTGTGATATTAAGTTGAAGCTAAACCCTCAAAACAAAGGGTATATTTACTTGATAAGTTCATTTCAAATACATTTGTTATCTTATTTTTTTTTTAAAATTATAATACTTTGGATAACTATCACAAAAGTTATTATATTTTAAAAACTTTACAAATATCATTATATTTTAGATAATTATCACAAAAATCATTATATTTTAGTATATGTATTTTTTATTTTTAATTTTTGACACCGAGAATATGATATCACCAAATAGTGTCATATCAACATGTCACATTATCATGTCATATCGTCTTGATAACATGATTGACCGGTTAAATTATCAGAATTATAATAAACTGATAAATTAAATGTTTAATTTGAGACAAAAAATAACTTAGCGTCAAAATCAAATTTTTATAAACATCAGTGACTTTTATGAAATTTGTCAATTTATTTTTTTTCAAAGTTTCAAAGTTTCAGCTTATTGATTTTAAAAAAGCCATTATTAAAAAATGTTTGACAATCTTAAAAATACTTTCTAAAATAGTTTAAAAAACACATTTTAAGCTAAACGATTTTTAATTTATTGAATTATTGATTAAAAACTAATTCAAACATTTTGTTTAAATAATTTTTGACGCCATAAACAATTTCATCCAAAAACACATTTGAAATTTCAAAAAGCAATCCCAAACCATTCCCTCGTCTAGGGATGTTAATTTATAACATGACACGACAAAGATACACGAAACAAAATGAAACTTGAACGAAATTTGAATTCGTGTTCGTGTCGTGTTCGTGTTCGTGTCAAGATTAAAAAACATGATGTCGTGTCGTATCGTTTTCGTGTTTATAAATCGACACGATTAAACATGTGGTTGTCGGGTTTTTTTTTTGTGTTTTTCGTTTTTGTCGTGTTATATATCTTTAAGTATGAATGAAATACACTAATAGTTATGTAATATTATCTTTGTCGTGTTGTCATGTTTTAATTGGTTCGTTTTCGTTTTAATGAAAAAAACACAACATCCTGTCGTGTCGTGTAGTGTTCGTGTTATACACAACTTTGTCGTGTCGTGTTAGACAAAAACACGACACGACTGCCCGATTCGACAGCCATACCCTTGTCTTTCCCTACCTCCGTCGTCACCTTACCACCTCTGGTAATGAGGATTCTAGGGAAAATTATCGCTACTTTTCTCCTCCTCCTCCTCCTCTTTCGCTTCACGACACCATCGACGACGGATATCATATCTGTGAAGATCCGATCCCATAACTGAGATATGATCCTCTTCCCGGAGTTCGAATACTCACATACCAGCTACGTTTACGTTGCGGTCTCCTCCGTCGGGATCTCCTCCATTCCGGTCACATCCAACTTATCACAACCTGATCCTTCGCGTATCGATTTCTTCCTTCTACCGGATGAATTATTTGCCCGCTACAACCACGAATTCGAACAAAACCCTGATTTGTGCGCCTTGGATATCAAATTCATCACAGTCCTCTTTACTTTCCAAGATCTCTCCCCTCCTCATCAGTCGTCCTTCAACAAATCATACAATGTCACATATCTCGGGAAGTATTCACTCTACTTTGCAAATTGCAACGACCTATCACTCGTGACAATGGAAGTCCGAACAGAGCTTTCTACAACACCGATGATGACCAAAGATTATTTATCAGCTAGGCAACCGCATCCGTCTCTTTTATTCAGATTGTTCCTCATTGATCTGTGTTTTTTAGGGGTTTGGATTTACATATCCTTAAAGAACCAGCAATGTTTCAAGAGGATCCATTTACTAATGGGTGTGTTGCTTGTTATAACTCTTGTTTGTTGGAACTTTTTATATAAAGGAATTGCAAGTTGGCAATTTCCTTTGTATCCCACATTGGTGGGGGGAAGAAACTTTTGTGAGTTTATAAGCCTATTCCCTTGGTAAGCCTTCGAAGGCTTTAGTGGATCAAAGGAATGGGCCAAGCCCACGCGCGCGCCTAGCCTAGCCTAGCACTAACCGATGCCGCGAGTGCGCGAAATGGCGCGATTTAGGTGTACTTTGCAAGACGCATCGGTCGTTGGGAGCTGACGAGCTTTTATTTTTGACAGGTTCAGGTCAAGCCGGTTTGACCGATCCGGTCAAATGGTTGACCGCCGTTGACTTCGTGGAGGCCAAGTCAGGGTATTCTAGAAGGATCAAGAAACAGCTTGCTTGGAGAGCAAGCTGTCGCCCTAGGGTTTCTAGGTCCGGCCTATGGGGGGCCGTTTGATGCCTTCTAGGGTTACAATACCTATAAATACAGCTCCCTAGGAGCTGCATTAACACCTCACGAAATCTGAAAGCTCTCACCCTCTCTTTGCGTTTTTTCCCTTCTGGTTTCCAAGTAGTCGCTTTGTGTTTTTCGATTTCCAGTGTTGTTGGAATATCGATCAAGCTGCATTAAATCCTAGGGTTTTACTCTGTTTCTTACAGCCAGTACAAGCGAAGTAAAAACCTTTAAGGACAGGAGTCTGATCCATGCAGTTGCATCAAGATCAAGATCAACAATCAACGGGTCGGTTTTACTTTTATGTCTTGTGGTTAATTCGTCCAATAACAGGACAGTCTTCTTCTACCTTTCTTATAATCAGATCTAATCGAGAAGGATAGATCTGATTTCTAGATGAAACTTGGTAAATATAATAATAATAATTGGATCTATTATTCGCAACTAATCGACATATAATTCTCAATATTATTTTTTGGTTTCCTTGCGCGTCTATTAGTTTGTTTTACAACATTCTTAAAGGTTTTTACTTGTGATAAATCAACAGACTAATGGACACTACTGCTAGCCTCCACTTCATGAACCAAGAGTTTGCCAAACTTGACCAATTCGATGGTCAGAACTACACTCGTTGGGCCGAAAAGGTCAGGTTCATGCTTCATGTCTTGAAGCTCTCCTTTGTGTTGGACCCAAAACTGGCACCAATTCCTGATGATCCAATTCCCAAGGAGGGGGAATCTATAGACCCAGCGGTCATTACAGAACTGGAGAAGCAAAGGATTCTGCGTAGAGAATCCGAGGAATTATGTGTGGGTCACATCAAGAATTCCCTATCTGATCGGCTCTATGATCTTTACTCACCAGTCAAAGATCCAAAAGAGCTATGGAATGCGTTGGAACTTAAGTACAAGGCACATGAGGGAGGTAGTAACAAGTACCTTGTGTCCAAGTACCTTGAGTTTCAAATGGTTGATGACAAATCGATTATGGAGCAAGTGCAGGAACTCCAAGTCATGGTCAACAAGTTGAATGCACTCACCATCTCTCTTCCAGAACTCTTTCAAGTTGGTGTGATCATCGCAAAACTGCCACCCTCGTGGAAAGATTTCTCTAAGAGAATGATGCACAAATCTGAGGACTAATCCTTGGATGATCTGATGAAACACCTCCGCATTGAGGAGGAAACTCGCATCAGGGACAAGTGAGGTAAAGTTGGACAAAGTGTGTATCAAGTGTCAGCTGGGAGTTCTAGCCACAAAGGCAATTCTAGGGGACAAAACAAGAAGAACTTTGGACCCAAGAAACAAAGCTTCAAGAAACCGGGTCATCAGAATCCCAACTCAAAGCCAAAAAGGGCCGGTCCTTGCCACATCTTTGGAGAGATGGGGCACTATGCGAGAGAATGCAAAGATCGCAAATCAGTACCGGTTGCACACGCAGTCGAGAAGGTGACTGACATGGTGGCTAGTGTGAACCTTGGAGAGATTTTCATGATCTCCTCTCTTACTCGAGCAATCTGTGCTCGAGGTTGGTTTGTGGACACTGGAGCCACTGTGCATGTTTGTGGGCATCGAGAGAGATTTAACACCTACCAACCCAAGCCACAAGGGACGGTTGTCATCTATGCTGATGGCCACAGAGCTGAAGTTCTAGGAAAGGGTGATGTTCAGTTGAAGTTCACACGTGGTGAATGGGTGACTCTTCGAGATGTTCTTCATGTTCCCACTATCTCGAAGGGTTTGGTTTCTGAGGACAAGTTTGACAAGGGTGGGTTCAAGATGGTGCTTGAGAGAGGCAAAATTGTGATCACTAAAGGCAGAAGACATGTTGGGAGAGCGAACAATACTTCGGGAATATATCGCTTGTGTCTTAGTGATGAGGGTAATATGAGTGGTCCTAGTGTTGAGAGTGGTGTTTCTAGTGTTGCTAGTGTGTCGAGTGTTGGTAATGATGTAATTGATGGATTGGTTGCTAATGTGAATGAAGTGAACTTTTGTGGTTATATTGTTTGTTCAATTTCTTTATGGCATAAACGTTTAGCTCAAACTAATGTTAAAAACATTGAAAAAAAAATGCAAACTAAAGGTATGTTAAAATATGACACAAAAGATTTTGAAAAATGTGAAACATGTGTAAAATCAAAGTTCACTAAGAAACCATTTCCATCAGTTAAGAGAAACACTTCATTACTTGAGTTGATTCATTATGATATATGTGGGTTAAATGGAATCCTTACTCGAGGAGGAAAAAGGTATTTCATCACATTTTGTGATGACTTCAGTAGATATCTACATGTTTATTTGCTGAGATCAAAAGATTAAGCTTTTGATGAATTTAAACGATATAAGGCTGAGGTCGAAAATCAACTTGAAAGACCCATCAAAATTCTTCGCTCAGATAGAGGTGGAGAATATTTCAACCTAGAGTTTGACACATTCTGCGAAGAGAATGGAATTAAACATGAGAGAACATCACCATACACTCCCAAACAGAATGGTTTAGCTGAAAGAAAGAACCGAACCCTTTGTGAGATGGTCAACTGTATGTTGAACCAATCGGGTCAACCAAACAATCTGTGGGGGGAAGCACTATTGACTGCTTGTTATGTTCGTAATAGGATCACTAGTCGTGTGATTCCTATAAGTCCTTATGAGTTGTGGAAAGGTAGAAAGCCTAACCTAGACTATTTGAAAGTGTGGGGGTGTGTTGCTTATTATCGGACTCCCGATCCTAAGCGAACCAAATCGGGAGCACGAGCTAATAAGAGTATATTTATTGGATATGCTCAAAATAGCAAGGCTTACCGGTTACTAGATATTGATTCAGGTGTTGTTGTGGAATCCAGAGATGTGGAATTCTTTGAGGACAAGTTTTCTAAGGATGAAGAAAACTCTAGTCATACAACACCTACAAGTACCTCTCGAGAAATACTCCCACCTCCTCCCATTGTGGAGGAACCAAGGAGAAGTACTAGGGCTAGAACTGAGAAAACCTTTGGAGAAGATTTCTATTCTTATTTGGTCGAAGGAACACAAAAGAAAGTGACGAGAGAGGTCATCTTTTCAATTAATTTGGATGATGATCCTAAGACCTTTACTGAAGCCATGACGTCTCGGGATGCTCCTCTGTGGAAGGAAGCAATCAATGACGAAATGGATTCAATTATGGGTAATGGAACTTGGGAGTTAGCTGATCTACCCAAGGGGAGAAGACCCATAGGATCCAAATGGATATTCAAGAAGAAATATCATCCTGATGGATCCATATATGCCTATAAAGCAAGGTTGGTTACAAAGGGATATAGGCAGCAAGAAGGGATCGATTATTTTGATACCTATGCCCCAGTTGCTAGAATTAGTTCAATTAGAACTCTCATAGCAATATCAGCTTTGAAAGGATTGTACATTCATCAAATGGATGTGAAGACAGCCTTTCTGAATGGTTTTCTCAAAGAGGAGATTTACCTGGAGCAATCTGAAGGTTTCGTAATACCTGGACAAGAAAACAAAGTATGTAGACTTGTTAAGTCTTTGTATGGGTTGAAACAAGCTCCCAAACAGTGGCATGAGAGATTTGACACCACTGTGACTGCATTTGGTTTTCAGCACAACAGTGCTGACAGGTGTATTTATTCTAAATATACATCTGATTATATAGTAGTTATATGTGTTGGAATAGTGTCTAAGGTTGCAACTATATTTGGCAAGTATTTGACCCGGTTATGCCTGGTCCTTTTGGGTTGCCTTCACCATAGCAACTTGACAGGATGATTTATAATGAGAGAAGAAATATTATTAATATATTATGAGAATAATATAAGGAATAATATTATTATTATAAGTCATAAATTAATTAGGAATTAATTTGGTGACTTAAAGAGATTAATTGAATAAAGGGGCATAAACTGTCAATTGTATGATAGTTGTACTTTGGGCTATAATCCCTTAAGGATAAGGGGTGGACAGTTTTAGGGCTTTGGATAGACCTAGAAATCGTCCAATGCTTATCATAAGAAGGATTGGATTGCTTAGGGCCTAAGTTATCCAATTAGGGTTTAAGGGTGAAACCCTAGGAGCCTTACAAGTATAAATAGACCCAAGGGGTCAAGGAAATCGGCACTCTTGTCTTTGGAAGAACCCTGGCCGACTTCCTGCCCTCTCCCCTCTCTCTCCAATCATCCTCTTGCTAAGTTGGTGTTTGTAAGCCATTAGAGGAGTGACAATTGTGACTCTAAGCTCTAAGAACAAGAAGATTCAAGCAAGCAACTTAAGGTAATCTTCAAGATCTGTTTTCTGTTATTATACTCGAATTATCATTAGAAGACTTGGATACAATGCATGTTTAATTAGAGAAACCTAGATCCAAACATTAGGGTTTGTATGTGCACATAGGAATGTTCATATGGCTAAAACCCATCAGTGGTATCAGAGCCTTGATTGGTTTCTATTGAATTGATGCATTGGTTGCTTGATTGTTGCTTGCAAAATTCGAATTTTATCATTCTGCCTGATGAACTCGGCGAGTTCCATAGTGGACTCGGCGAGTAGGCCTCAACTCGGCGAGTCCATTGTGGTACTCGGTGAGTTCGAGCATCAGAAAGAGCTAATTTCGGGATTTCTTGCTGTTTATCTTTTGTAAACTTACCTTAATCTTAATGGGTCAATATAAATCCAATTTTAATATATATTTGAGTATATTCTTGACCTAATTAAAGATATTTATCAATTAATTAAATAATAATTTCCTTATGTGATAATTGATTAATTATTTTAATTAAATTGGTAAATTGTTTTGCAAGAAATAATTAAATAAATCAAATATGGATAATTATGTGATTAAATGTTAATTTGAATTATTTGTTATTTGATCCCTTATGTTTTTAAAAGTTTAAAACTTGTCCTCAAGTTTTGAAATTTATGTTTTGTGATTAAAATTTTAATTTAGACAATTTAAATTTCAAACCTTAGAATTTTACAAGTTTAAAATTCAACCCTATACTAATATAATATTACAAGATTAATATATATATATATATATATATATATATATATATATACACACATATATGTATATGTATATGTATAATTAAAATGCTAATCTTACCGTTAGTAGGCCTCATTCACGAAGCCGGTCTATAAGGTGGGTATAAGGTTGCGGCCTATAAAATGGCGCTTAATGGGTGTACACTCACACCCACCGCTTGCTTGATCGGTGGGGGGTCGTTAGCCGAACAGGTAGGATAGGGCAACCTCATCTCCTCATTAAAAGTATAATATGAAATACAAGGTAACTACATGTTTTTCCAAAAATTCCCAATCCTAGTTACTTTAGGAAAAGTGAATTGATGCAATCCCATGAAATTACACTTTGCACCCTTGCTAAGAAGTTAGTGGAGCGTGTGTGGTTTACCGGCACACTAATTGGTTCTAAGCAAAGGTGGCAAAGGGTGATTCATTGTTTATCATAGTTCGATCGAGCGTGTGTGGTTTACCGACACATCGAATAGGTGATTGTTACAATGAAGGCACCATGTACATTTGCATGGTAATTCACACCCACTTTGTGATCCTCGGTATCCCAGTTACAAACGTGAGGGGCATATCGAGATTTAAACATGCCATTGAAATGTTCAATGAATCCCATCCAAACCTAGGTATTCTCAATACATTTGGAACTTAAAGTTAGGTTTTCATGGTGGAGAATTAGTGAATCGTCATCCACTTACCTTCAAATTGTTTGCATGTTAGATTACGGCATCCCTTTTCTAATATGTAAATAATGTTGTTGGATCCTAGCCCTAATATTTCTTATTGGGTGATTATTAGGGATTCAAATTCTAATCAATCTTTGTCCTTTCTATTTGTAGATGTCGAACGCGAACAATGTTGGTGCTAGTTCATTCACATTGATGAGCCTTTGCCAAAAGGTGACATTTGATGGAACGAACTTTAGCGAATGGATAAGATACATTCACACAATTGCTCGCTATGAGGACAAGGAGTATGTCCTCGACAAAAAGCTCGAGAAGATCAATCCAGAAATCGCTACTCCGGCGGAAATGGCTGCTTTTGAAACTCATGAGCATGATGCGACGAAGGGGAGATACCATCAAAACGCGAGGCAGGAGCGTTACGAGATTTTCACTAACATGATCTCCGCTAAAATGGGACATGGAGAATCTCTAACCGTACACTTGCAAAAGATGCAAAGGTATGTCGATCGTCTACGCAAGTTGAATGTTGACTTTGGGGAAGACTTGGCTATCGACATGGTCCTTCACTCCTTGCCTCCGTGTTACAACCAATATAGGATGACCTACCACATGAACAAGGAAGAGGTCACCCTAAGCAAACTCCAAGGTCTCCTTAGGGTTGCTGAAAGCAACTTCAAGGATGAGTCTGTTGCACCAACTCCCAATCCACCCGCTGCTCCTGTTTTGGCCATTGGGCAGGGAAAAGATAAGAAGAGGAAGGTCCCGTCTAAGAGCCACTGCAAGGGAAAGTCCCGAGATGGTTCCTCTTCTAGTGGGACCAAAGTTGATCCTGCAAAGCCTAACCCTAACCCGAAGGAGTCAGAGTGCCACCATTGCCATAAAATAGGGCATTGGAAGAGAAGCTACCCAGAATACCTGCAAGCTATCAGGGAAGGAAAGATCAAGCCGTCTTTCACAGGTATTTATACAATTAAATCTAATGATTCATCTCATGCTATTTCTTGGGTCCTCGATACCGGTTGTGGTTACCACATTTGTTCTGAATTGCAGGGACTAAGAAGAAATAGGGATGTGGA